GGAATTGGGTAATTTTCACATTTCAATTTTATCAGAAAATGGTATTATTCTGGGCCAAGCCCATTTCATAGTCTAATTAGAGTGAATAATTGACATCACAGCCCAACAAATTCCATAACTGTGTTGTTGCTTCATCCTGCATAAACAGAAAAGAACACAAGTTAAAAACATAGATTTTGAGGATAGAAACAGCAATAAAGGTATGGAAAAATATGAGCCTAAAATGCAAGAAAATGCAACGGATCGTATAAGCCGGAAAGGCCCACGTTTAGGTGGCCTGATTTAGCTTTTTTCGCGTGCTGGGCCAGGCCTTTGCGGTGAGGCTCAATTTGTTAGTCCAACAGGCCCACATCGCAGCCATATGTCACCCAAAAAAGGGACCGAATAATGCGTATAAAAAGCTATTCACAAGAATTAAGTTGAGAGCATGCTCGGCTAAGCTTAAATTTTACTATTGTGGAAAGTTTCACTTTCCAGAAAAGTAAGTTTTAAAGTTATGTTCGGCAAAAAAGGCACAGAAGTAACTTTTTCTTTTTAAGGTTAGTCGATCGTGCTCTAAATCAGCTTATGGGTTTTGTGGATGGGGAAGAGGTGGGGAGTTAGTATGGTCAAAACCATGATTTTACGGGAAAGTGTCTGTTTAATGTATTTTTCTGTCATTTTTGGCGCTAAAAAACATTGGCAGTTATTGTGGTGCTTAATGTTGTTTTATTGAAATTAAAACCCGATTTGGTAGATATTTTTTTTAGAATAGATTTTGTAAAAAAAAGTAATTTTTTGGAGAATGTATAATTAAACAATAGGAAAAAAAACTATGTATATTATTTTATTGGAAGAATGTATAATTACAAATTAGTTTGAGAATATTGGGATCAAATAGGGGTAAATAAAGGTTCGGGTGACACATGGATGAAGAATTTCTTTTTCATTTTTTTTCCACAATATTTATTTATTTATCTAGTTGAACATTTCTCTATGACAATGACTTACTATATATCTTATCTGAATGGCCCCCTGTTTCGTACACATTCTTTCAAAACTCATTTTCAACCATACATTTTTCAATAAAATAATTTTTTTCCATCACATCAGTAACTTTTCTTTACTTTTTAATCACATGCTTTCCATTGTATCACTATTTAAAATACATTCTTTTCTAAAAAATATCCATCAAACACACACTATAACACATGTTGACCATCGTGAATGATTATTCTATTTACTGACTTACTAGAATAGCAGCCCTGGGCGGAGCCAGGATTCAGTGAGACGAGGGGCTAGTGAGTTAGACAGTGGG